AAAGCACTGCTGCACAAAACTACAATATACGCAATTATGGAAAATAATCTAGGCTTTATGATATTTGTAGAGGACAGGGTAATTGTCAAAGCCTTTATGAAAGCAAGTACACACATTAATTGCGTATCTGTTGAGATTGGCAGAGACATTCCCAAGTAGTATTTATGTAATATGCATTTCCTCTAAAATGGAAGCCTAATTGCTTAGTTATTCTAAATTGCAGAATGGAAAACAAAGGAGCAGTTTTGGCCATGTGGGTAAACAACAGATTTCTAAAAGCTAATTATCTCTTTATTTAATAGACTGAAGTTGCACCAAATGAGACATTTAAGTCTAATAAATAATAAAGAAATTGTAACCTAAAGACTGAAATATAGAAGCTGCTCATACAGCTTTTATTGGTCCATTAAATAAGCTCTTATTTACTTCCCCACCAAAACATAATTATACAGCACTGTGTCCATTTCAAGGCCATTTGGATGTGCTATTTAAAAATTATGCGAATCAACTTACATACTCAGGAAATCTTAAAGGATAATATTTGAATTCTATTATCAAATGCTCTATTTGTTTTCATGATTATGAAACAAATGCAGGCTCAAAAAGTTATACATGATCACATAAAATGACCATTACTATTTGTCCTACTAGAAATAATTATACATAAGTGTACTGATACATTTTAAATAATTAAATACTAGTGTATACACTTACTTGTTCTATATCAGATGGTTAGTGCTTTCAGTATTTCTAAATTAAAAGAACTCAAACTTAAGTAAACTTAAAAAGATGTATTCAAAATCCACATACCGATTAAATAAAGACATGAAAATGTAGCTAATTTGCTTGTTTGTTTAATGTAATCATTCAACAGAAATAACCAAAACTGTATATGTGAATATTTAAAAGACCTCCAGGCTCATCACTTTAAAGAAAACAAAAATGAGAAAAATGATCTTTTAATGCTGTAACATGATAATGTGAGATGCTATGCTTTCTTAGCTTTGCTGCTCAAAAGAATTTTTAATGCTTCATTTTTCTTCATAGGGAAACTTAACCTACTATTCTATCTTTATTTTCATTCTATTAACCAAAATCACATTCTGAACTGATCGTGATAATAAATAGTAGACTTGAAAATAGTTGTTTTCTCTCTTGCCAAAGGCAAGTAATGATTTATGAAGGATAAGAACAGGGATTTAATTTACTCGACTACCTCAGGTGGTGATACAAAAATGTGTACATCTGTGAAAAATGCAGTTTTTATCTGCATGCCGAAAATACCTAAGACATGAAAATCTATAGAAGGAAGCTTCCTGTGGGTTTATGGCAGGATTATGTGAAGATTTTTCTCTGCTATCATTGAGAGGTGTATATCCCGCCTACAAAAGTAAAACAAAAAGTTTCTAATCCAAAGAGGTAAGAAAACACTAACATAGATTCAGTCTACCCTTCTACATATTTTTAAGACTAGGAGAGTTCTACAAAGACTAGAGAAGCACTATGTTCCATACTCAAATATAATGCCTACCACAATATATATATATATATATATATAATATTTTATCTGATCTTCACAAATAAAATGCCTCAAAATTACGATTATCAGCACAATACATAGTATAGCATACAAATATGAGTTTATCCTACCAATTTCTATAGATTATTACAACCAATATTTTAGATCAGCAAGTTTGGTCAAAATATTTTTCTTCATCCTGTAAGACCGAATTTTTACTTCAGTCACTGTCCATCTTATTATCAGCTTACTTTACTTTTTATTATAATAGGAAATTGTTTCATACATATGATTGTCTGAGTCACTTACTAGAATATTAAACTTCATTAGAGCAGAAACCTTATATGTCCTTGTAATCCATCATATAGGAAAAAAAGGCTACCTTTTAATGAAAGGAAATTGCACTGGCTATTAAATGTATTTTCTAAACCAATCAAACAATAATGCAGGGCCATAGACAGCACTTATGCTTTTTAGAATATTAAATACCTTTAATTGAAGATATTGTCAAATATTAAAAAATACATAAAATTCAGTGAAAGTGAAGAGTGATATTTTATATAATAATATTGTAAATAACTGAGTGCTAGTTAAATATATTTTACTAAGTAACTTCTATTTCATAAGTTTCCAAAATGCTGTAAAGATCAGGATTTCACAAAATGTCTAAACATGAAATATGGAAAAAAGATGATTGCCATCTTTATACATGGTTTAGTATCCACTCATGTTGGGTATACAGGAGGTATCCATGTTATTATTAAACTTATTTTTGGCTTTTATTCTAACAATCTGATGATTAATTGCTAGCCTCGAAAAACTCACAGGGCTACAGGATGACTTTCATTGCAAACAGACCCAACAAGGGACACATATAAGCTAATGATAAAAGTTAGTGAAATTAGTCTAATACTTCAGGATCTCAAGGGCAGCACAATCTTAAAAATATGTAATCTTTTCTAGTCCATATTTCAAGAATAAAATTTGACAATTATGGGCCTTCCCTGGTAGTGCAGCGGGTTAAAGCACAGCGCTAACACACTAAAGCCACTTCCGCAAGAATTCCATCCCTGCCTGCCTGCCCTGGAGCTGACCCACATGGCGAGGCAGACCTCTCCTGACCC